CCCCCCACCCCCCCACCACCCCCCCACTAGCCAACCCCCCCGGACCCCCCTTTACCCCACCCAACGGCTATATAGCCGTTTGGGTTGTCCCCAGCCCCACCCCCAACGGCTAGTAGGAGTAGTAGCCCAAACATTTTTTTTTTAAAAAAATAGACCCGGACCCGGGCCCGACCCGGCCGGGCCGGGTCACAATAATCCAGAACCGAGCCCGCCCCGCCCCTTCCCATCACTTCGGGTCCATACCCGGTCCCGGACCGCCCGACCGGGCCGGTCCCGGGCCCGCACAGTACCGGGCCGGGTCACGGGCCGGGTGGCCCGAACCGAATCCATCCCTACCTTGGAGGAACTTTACGTTTGTTATGGGATTGAAGTTTGAGATTATTGTTGTGCTTTCGAACGGTGGTAGAGCTAGAAATGTCAAATTAGGGCACATCCATAATCATGAGATTTTTTGGGATCATCTTGATGATGTGTAAGATCTTTTTTGAGATTAGGATTGAGAAGATGAGATTATCAAATATTGAATCCTAGATTATTCAAGATTATTTTCAAATTTCATTAAACACATTTAATGCAATCATGTCTTTTAATTTGAAATGACTAAAATACCTCATTGGAAATAACAAAAAAAATCCATAAAAAACTAAATATTTAAAGATCATGGAGAATTAGTAAGCTTTGATTTTGTTTGTGACAATGACATGACAAGAGAAAGACATGAAAAACCGAATATTTGAGGAGCATGGGTAGAGATGCTCTTAGGGAGGGTGGAATTTGAAAATTGTAGAGTGGGGCCAAAGATTTGTATTTGAACATATATTTTTATACTTGGTAATATAAATAGAGTTATTTACGTAAAATATCTAGTAATGTTTGGGTTTACAAAAAAGTGACTAACTACCAATCACGTACATCATTCTTGGAGTAATTGTAGGGAAATCGCCTTGTCATTTTGATCAGTAGTCATTTTTTTGTTAGAGAGATTTAAAGTAGTACTCCGTAATATTTATGTAATATTTTCATATAAATATGTGTACAGATATACACTATAAAAACTGTATTTTTTTTTTGCAGCTATTTGTTTGAACATAATATTGTGGCCCGTTTGACTTCGTGGTAAATATGCTCAACTTTGACCATTCAATTTCGATCTAACATATCGCGAAACTGTGCGACCTCAAAAGAGTGCTTGTGTGTGTGCTAAATTTCCGCTACGCAAAGCTTAATTGCTGCATGCGATTCCAGTTGCACTCGTTTCTGCCTGTATCCAATTTCTCAAACAAATTGTGATATTTGTATAACGACTCTCAATTCCACCATGGTTATCGAGCAAAACACCAGTTTCATCGAGTACACTGCTAAGTAGCGACCATCAGAATCAAGAAAGAAGTCTCATACTGCTGCTCATCCAGTTAGGGCCGCTCCTAAGGGGGAGCAGGGGTGACCGCCCTAGACTCTAAAATATAGAAGAAAAAAATAGGATCAAATTCTTTTCTTTATATATAATGTCAGTAGGCTTCTTTTTTTACTTTTAAATTCAATTAATTAGGTCTAATGTTTAATTTATGTTGATAATTTGAAAATGTTAAAACATAAGTAAAGGGTCTTGACCGGAGCCGCTCAAACAAGTTTATAAAAGAATATACATTTAAGTTTAATTTTTGAGTAGAACTGGTTGTAGATCAAGACATTTGTAGTTGAATCAATAAAGACGTGTCTCTTCACATTATTTTAGCCTTTAAGGCTTTTATTCATTTTAATTACAAAATTATCAATTTGTACTCTTTTTTGGGCAACCCGTGCCTCCCAATTCCCAAACCCCATTCCAATTATCTGAGATCGTCTATGTCTCAAAAAGCTTAATGGTAGCAAATTTAAGCATTGAACATGGAATCTTGAAAAGATTGATTATAAAGCAATTATTGATGATTTCGCCTCACAATGTTATGCGACAAATGTTTTTAAGTAATGTTTTTCTATACTTGTGTTGTTACTTTTGTCCAAATATGTAGTATTTTTTTCAAAAAGTGAGAATGTAGCTGTGAAACAAATTTTAAGTATTTACTTAAAATTGATCGCAAATAATAATATATGAGAATGTTGAGTACAATCTCTCAATATGAATCCCCTGAGTCTTCACTTGCAATTTGACATAAACATATTTAAAGAATTTAATTCAAAATTAAATCTTTAATCCTTCAAAAATTCGAACGTCCTTCGGATATTCGAATCTTCGTTCTTGAGATCTTCGAATCTTCAGATCTTTGTTCTTCGGATCTTAAAATATTTTTGAACGCAGAATTCAACTTGAAGGGTCTCTGGTTTTCAAGTAGCTTTATCTTCAACAAAAGGGACGTTTTATGGCTTGATCTCTTGTTTAAGGGCTTCCGGGGATATATGGCTCGATCTTCTATTGAATTTTGATTCAATCTTTATATGAATTATCTTCAAATGTTCAAAGATTCGTTCTTCATATCTTCGAATCTTCAAAACATTGTTCTTCAGATCTTATAACGTTTTCAACTTTTGGATTTATTTCATCAAGAATGAACGAAATCACAAAGGATTATTCGTATATTCTTAATAAAATTTGTGGCTTGGTCTCTTCCTCTTTTATGCAGTGTTTCTTCATCTGGAAATTCTCTCCTATTCCTCTCAACTGAGACCCCTATTTATAGTTGTGGAGGGGATGAAATATGCATTTAGGGTTTGGGAAATTCATCCAAACCCCTTGGGCCCTAATTAAAATGGGCTTTGGTCTCAATTTGCTTGCATTTTAATAGCTAGAAAAATCAGCACTTGTTCGATGTATCTAACCAGCTTTTTAACAAGGTTCGCAACCATTTTCCATGCATACAGAAAGATTTCTTAACCACATTCATTGCTCTCTTTATCAACTGGATCATGGCTCTTATGTATTAAGCCACTATTTGATTTTGGGCTCAAAATTAATAGGACCGGTCCATTCTTTTAAAGATTTAATTTATAATTAAATTAGTTGGATATTTTAAATGATCCAAATCAATTAATCATTAAATTTCCTCGTGAATGGAGTCATACTAATATTTTGATGAGACCCAACAACCATCACGATCAACTCAGTAGATTCTGACGGTGCCCCATTAAGATATAATAATAGGAAAATAATATAGCCCGATAGGTTTTGAAATGAGGCCCATGATTATCACAACCGGACTAATAAATTTTAGATGTTCACGGCAGCAAATAAAAAATACGAAGAGTATATATTTATAAAAAAAGTCATAAAAATAGAAAAAGAATTTTATATATATCTCCTTCTAAGATTAATTATGTTTAAATATGAGAAGTAAAGTAAAAAAGGGAAGATAAATTTGTAAATTCTAGTCGAAGACAAAAAAATAAAAAGAAAGAAAATGAAAATAAAAGAACGAAAAAAAGAAAAGTGGGCACGATTTATGTGAACCACCCATTATGTTGAATATACTCCACTCCCTATCAAGTATGTACTACCTCCGTTCTATTTTAATTGTAACATTAGACTTTTTGCATTATTCACATATTCTTCTTTGACTATATTTTATTAATTAATGTATTATAAATTAAATTTTTATAAAATATTATTAAATTCTTCTCATTCTAAATTTTCAAAATATGAGCTTTTTAAATTTTTTACTAATAAGGAATGAAAGATATCAATGATCACACTTGTGTGTTGGCAAACATGAATTATTGACTGTTGAAATTAAAAGCGCACGGAGAAAATATAAGACACAAAGAAAAGAAAATGAAAAAAGTAAATAAAAATGGGAAGCATATGTCAAATCAACAAATAACCTACAATAGAAAGTAATCATCCCATCACTTGGCTCATTTGATCTTTTTTAGTAATAAAGTGCATTTATGTAATGCTTTTTTTAATATGAGGGTCGGAGACTTCGGAATGATATTTTTGATATAGTAAGAAGGTGTATTTGACGTTTTCTGAAATCGCAAATTATACCGTGGGATCAGCACACCGTGTGCACGGTGTGTCGATCCCTAAACGACACCGTTTCAATTAAAAACAACCATCTTCTTCCTTCCCAACTATCAGGCAGGTCGTTCGATCACCCCTTGCAGAAGCCCCTGTTGAATCCCGATTCCAGAGCAATACCCTACCAATCCAAATGGGTTTTCCTTCGTTCGCTTCTTTGAATCGAGAATTGATACCTCTGGATTCATGAGGAGAAAGCTTCGATATTTCCATACAATAAATTGTAGAAACCCTACGTATTTGTTCCTGCTTGTAAAAACAAGTCTCTACTTGTCTCTCCTTATTCTTTGATCTTGTGAAAAGAATCAAGGGAAGGGGAAGGGAAGTTGCACTTTAATCACGATCATTCAATTAAACACAACACCATATTTTCAATGAATATATATACACAGTATGTCACTATGTCATATTAGAAAACTTAAATTTTAATTTGGCAAGTTACATTTAACCTGATTTACATTTTGTTTTGGCTTAAGTTACATTTGTATACTCGCGAGTTACATTTCAGTTTGTCGTTACATTTTGCATACATGTGAGTTACATATTTAATCAATGCGAGTTACATTTGTCCTAACGCGATTTACATATGAAAATAAACCCTGCTAATGAAGAAAACAATGATTTTTTTAAAAATCATTTTCAATGGCCTTGACATTAAACAATAAACATATACACTATTTATGTAAAACAATTGTCCAATTAGACTCGTTTTTCATTGTTTACATTGAAATCAATATTTTATTTCATATACTATGTATTTGACAAATTACATTTCGAATAAACTTGAGTTACATCGATCAATAATGTAATTTACATATCTTTACACGCGAGTTACGTCATTCACGCTACTGAGACAAAAAGAAAGAAAAAAATAGTTAATGTATACATGTGTACTATTCACACGTATATTGTTCACACGATTTTTTAAAAAAAATTATTTAAAACTACGTTTTTTTTGGAGTGAAGAATGATGCTTAGAAGTGTTCTCAAAACGAGAGAGGATCAGAAGCACGCGTCATTTCGATCTTTTTATTAGAAATGCTCAAAACTACTTCGTTTGCTTAAATCCCTAACTACGTCCGCTGGACCTCCAAGCCAATCGACCGCATCTCCCGTTTCAGAGCTGGACACAACGGACCGTCCGGACGCATCAGTTCATCACGTACGGCGGGACAAGTTACGACGGCCCTCGACCGCCAGACGGCCTCCAGGCTTCCAGTTCGGCCGGCCAGGACAACAATCCGACACGCGCAAGTCCAGGTCCTAGCTTATAAAACAAAGCTCTCTATCCCCGTCCATCTTTTGCTAATTAAGAGTTGAAACAATTGACTCTAAATAGCAGATGTTTATTCGAAAGAATTGATTGATATACTAATATATCTTAAGCTGTGTTGCAACTTGCATCCATTCTGTTGTTTAAAATTCTAGAAACCAACTAGGAAATAGTGAAATACGCCCTGGTTCAGCTGTTCGGCCTCTTACTATATGTTGAACTGCTTCCATGCATGCTGCAATTGAATGTTTACATTACCCTAGATGAAAGTAACAAATAAAAAGAGAATATATCAGCAAGTAATATTTGTACCATAAAAATAAATAGTTGACTATCATTTGAAGCAGGGATATGGAAGTTATGAAAGTATGACATTCATAGTTATGCTAAAATTCTTAAGACATAGCATAAAATATAGTCTTATTTCCCAAAATATAATATATGTTGAATAACTTGACTTTCCTATATCTGGCATTTGATAACCTACGTTAATATTGAGGATAGAAAATCTAAAATCTTCCATTTATAATTTGTAAAAATTGAAAATAATAATCCCAACTATTGCCGGTCCGCTAACAATAATCCCAACTATTTATTATTTTTGTATAATCCCAACTATATGGACCGTCCGCCAATAATGGTCCATGACCAGATATTACCTGCTATAACAAGTGAATTTTAAATAGAAATTAAGCGTAAAAATTAAAAGTTGGAATTATTTATAGGGATTACTTGTTATATCTCTTCTCATCCACTTTAGAAACTATAGGAATTTATTTATAGCCGGTCACGTCGGATCATTATTGGCGGAAGGTCCCTAAAGTTGGGATTATTCTGAAATAATCGATAGCTGGTATTATTATAAGCGGACCGCCAATAGTTGGGATTATTACTATCAATTTTCCTTATAATTTTTGAAATATAGAAGTTAGTACTGATATTAACTTGATTTGAATATGCAAGGGAACTCAAATATTATAGTTCAGTGATGCACTTTTACTTGTATAACAAATATATAGGATTTCCAGTTTTTTTTTTAAGAAAATAGACAGAAAAATATCAATCATGTGAAGTATTCCTTAAAATGAGTTTTGACAGTGGAAGAAAAAGGGAATGGAACCCAGCATTTTGAAGGCAAGCTAGAAAGAAACCATGCACGATGAACAAGCTCTTACCCAACACATTTCATTGTCCATTGTCGTCTCCTCAATCTACTTGTACCAAGTCATTCAATGCAATTATAAACCGCCTCTCCCGCGAAGGTGCCTACTACCAAATAATACTAACTTATGCCTCCATGCTAAAAGCCTCTGTTCCCCCCGACACCTTTACATATCCTAGCCTCCTCAAAGCATGCACTTCCCTCAACCTCTTCCATCTCGGTCTTTCTGTCCACCAACATGTGCTCGTCAATGGGTTCTGTGCTGATCCTTACATTGCATCATCTTTGATAACCTATTATTCTAAATATGGGTACACTGGGAAAGCACGCAATGTGTTCGATAAAATGCGCGAGAAGAGTATTGTTCTGTACACAGCAATTATCGGGTGTTATGCTCGGAATGGTGATACTAACAATGCACTCCTCTTGTATAGCTCTATGCAGCAGGATAGGATAAAGCCCAGTGCGGTTACTGTTTTGACATTGCTGTCTGGAGTGACAGAGAGCGATCTCGTGAGATGTCTCCACTCTAGTATTGTAAAATATGGTTTCACATCTCACTTAGTCTTGATGAATTGCATGTTAAGCCTATACAGTAAATGTGAAAGAGTTGACTGCGGAAGGGAAGTGTTTGAATCCATGCATGAAAAGGATGTTGTTTCCTGGAATTCATTGATTTCTGGTTACATTTTGATGGGGAACACAAATGAAATACTACGTCTTATGAGTAGGATGTGGTTTGAGGGTCTACATCCCGATTCTCAAACATATGGGTCGTTGGTTTCTGCAATTTCAAAAGGGGGTAGTTTTGAAATAGGAAGATTGGCTCATGGTCAGATCATAGCCCAGGGATTTGAATTAGATGTACATCTTGAAACATCACTTATAGTCATGTATCTTAAATGTGGACAATTGGAATACGCGTTTCATATTTTCGAGAAAGCAAACAATAAAGATGCAGTTTTGTGGACATCAGTTATTTCAGGTCTTGTTCAAAACGAACATCCAAACAAAGCATTGGAAGTTTTCCGTGGGATGCTAGGTTCTAGAACTATACCATCTACTAACACCTTAGCCAGTGTACTTGCTTCTTGTTCACAGTTGGGTTTATTGAAAGTGGGAACTTCAATACATGGTTACATAGTGAGGCAAAGAATAGTAATGGACTCTCCAGCCCAAAACTCTCTCGTCACTATGTATTCTAGGTGCGGCTTTTTAAAGCAAAGCCTTGCGATTTTCAACATGATAGAGAAAAAAGATTTGGTGTCATGGAATGCCATTGTTGCCGGGCATGCTCAGAACGGAGATTTGTCAACTGCTTTCCATATGTTCAATGGAATGAGAATAACCCATCAAAAACCTGACTCAATAACCATTGTTACCCTTCTTCAAGCTTGTGCCTCGACAGGAGGTTTTCAGCAGGGGAAGTGGGTCCATAACTTTGTTATCAGGACCTGTCTTGGACCTTGCATCATGATAGACACTGCTTTGGTTGATATGTACTGCAAGTGTGGTGATATGAATACTGCCAGGAAGTGTTTTGACAAGATGGAGGAACATGATTTGGTTTCTTGGAGCACAATCATTGCCGGTTATGGCAGTCACGGAGAAGGAAAGATTGCTCTGGAGATGTACTCGAGGCTTGTGAAAAGTGGAACGGTACCAAACAGTGTCATCTTCTTGACTATTTTGTATGCATGTAGTCACAATGGACTTGTTGAGCAAGGGATGAACTTGTTCGAGTCCATGAGGAATGATTTTGGAATTGAGCCAGAAGTTGAACATTGTGCTTGCGTTGTTGATCTCCTTTGTCGAGCCGGTAGGGTTAGAGATGCTTATGGTTTTTATAAGACATGGTTCCCAAATCCAATGATTGATGTTTTAGGTATACTGCTTGATTCCTGTAGAGGAAATAAGGGTTTGGTAGATATGGGGGATTGTATTGCGACAGAGATTTCTGTGTTGGAACTTGATGATGCTGGGAAATATGTGCAACTGGCTCGTAGCTATGCTTCGAATACACGGTGGGAGGGGGTTGGTAAGGTGTGGCTCCAAATGAAGAATCTTGGCCTGAAAAAACTGCCAGGTTGGAGTTTTATCGACTTGCAAGGAAATATCACAGCGTTTTTCATGGGCCACAGTTCTCATCCTGAACATGAAAACATTGTGTCTCTTTTAAACATATTGAGCAGGGAGAGCAGGGAGATGGTTATCATGCCTGACCTTCAATTATATGGCTGATACTTATAACAAGATACTGCTTCTAGAGATGCTCCAGCCAAAAGGTCAATTTATGCACCAGTGAGTGGAGGAAGAAATTCTCAGCTGGACTAGGCCTATCTGTGTTTGAAGCCAACAGGTGGAGTCTGAAAAATAATTCTGACTGGCTATCATAAATTATAAAAATATGCCAGCAGGTGGAGTCTGAAATGTGAAAATATGCCAACATGTAGAGTCTGATGAAAAATATGCATAGCTATTGCAGGAGGCCTTCTGGGATGATCTTAAATTATAAAAATATGCCAGCAGGTTGAGTCTGATGAAAATATGCCAACATGTAGTCTGATGAAAATATGCCAACATGTAGAGTCTGATGAAAAATATGCATAGCTATTGCAGGAGGTCTTCTGGGATGATCTGATGCATTCTGCCCGTAACACGATCCTCCAGCACTTGAATGTGATGCCATCTGTGCACTATTTTACTCTATTTCATCAACTCATGTAAACCTAAGAGAAAACCTACGATGATCAATTGGGCTCTATATATATACAAGGTAAACCTAAGAGAATTAAAATCTGGTCTGTTATTAATCATTTGTGAAGGTAAAGACCTTAATGACAGAATACGATGGACAACTCGTCACTATTTCTAAAAAGTAATAAACATGGGCACGCAAGGGGGTATGGATGGGTGCACAAATTCTTGAAGGTTTCAGTTCAAGTGAATACAAGTTGGAGTAGGTATCTTAGTTATTAGTTGTTTATTTATAAAATAAATAATCTTCTAACAGGAATAAAGGAAAGATAAGTTTCTAATATTTTTGCAGGTAAATAATCTTAAGAAATGCTAGAGAATGGGGGAAAATGCCAAGTGAAAAGAAGTTGATTAAAATTCCTGAAAATTGTGTGTGTGTGTGTGTGTGTGTGTGTGTATTTAGCAGTCTCTGTGTAATAGAAATTTATTTATAAAATGAGTTTGCTCAAATATCTAAAACAGGTTTGTTTAGTTTGAATACATGTTTATTTTAATGCCATATCCTTCTATTGTCCTCATTTTCTTTCCTTAGTATTTTCCAGCTCCAAACGGGTCCTGAACATGTTAGTCCTTTGCTATGTGCATACACTTTGAACTTTGAAGTAGTCGGTTTTAGAGGGTGTTTGGAGCCCCAAAAATGGGCTTATAAGTCTGAAAATAGAAAAATACAGCCAAACACAAGGCTTTTGGGCTATTTGGGCTGAATTATCTTATCAGCCGAAAAAGGAAGGCCAGGGCTACTTTTTGAGCTGCAAACTATTTAATACCGTTGGAAATCATAATACGCTTCTACCCTTTATTTTACGGCTAATTGTTGCTTCCTTTCTTCGTTACCTCCAGATCGACGACGATGACGACGGAAGCACCTCCAGTAGCTGCGACATAGGTTTATCTTCCAGATCGATGACTTCCGGCTCGGCTGCTCCATAGTTTCGGCATTCCAGATTGAAGACCTCTTGAACGCTTCTCTATATTCATCTAAATTAAAGGTAAGGTGCGCTGCATCTTCATGTTCATGTATATCTGTATATGTCTCTTTTTTTAAAATTTAAAATCTTTCCAGATTGAAGACCTCTTGAACGCTTCTCTATATTCAGTCTCTGTATATTAGAGACTGATTTGGGATGGGTGCATGAGGACATGGTGATAGCTAGGCCCCTAAATCTGGAAACAATATATATATATATCCACTTTTATGAATTGAATTCTCCATAGTAAAGCTTTTGGATTCGATCGAATTTGGGATAGGTGCATCAGGACATGGTGATAGCTAGGCCCCTAAATCTGGCCCTGATCGAATTTCCTAATCTTTGCTAAATATTATCTTTAAACCAACTCGTGTGATGTTATTTATTCTTGGCATTCCAGACTGAAAAATATTAGTAACTTTGGGCTTCCTTTAAGTATCAAGATTTGGAGTTTATTCACTTTGGCTTGTGGTATATATTCTATGTTTCCTGCTTATGTATCTCTGTATATGTCTCTCTTTTTTTAATTTAAAATCATTCCACACAAACTGGAGTAATACTACTTACAAGTTACTACTTGACAACAAATTATCTAAACTTGTCAAGTTGCTAAACAAAACTTCCAACTAATTATCTAAACTTGTCAAGTTGCTAAACAAACTGGAGTAATACTACTTACTAGTTACTACTTGACAACTAATTATCTAATCTTGTCAAGTTACTACTTGACAACTTACTAGTTAACGGTCATAAATATAGTATCATTTGCCAATAGTTTGGTCTTTCATGGTAGATGTACCTTGCTGAAATGTAAAAAAGTTAACCAACAGACGAAAACCAGTGTTACACTTGAGAAGTAGCTGTTTTCATCATGTTGTCCGCAAATATGAATTTTCTAGCGAATGTCTTGTCGTCATTCACCAGGTTGTAAAACATCTTCTAGCAGCTTTCTTGCATAAACCAGGTTGTAATATCGCGTACCCTATGCTTTCTTTGGCCTCAATTAAGGTCTTGACATTCTGGATTGTGTCTTGACTTCTCACTTGAACCATTATTGTTTTCTTTCTGGATGATATTTTGATACTTAACCTCAGTGGCACCGAATTGCTAACATAAGTTCACACAACTGGGAAACAAAAAGACACATGTTTTACTGCACAAATCAGATGCATGAAATGGGTTGGGGTGAGCAAGTCCGTTTGAACTTTTCTGAACCAACAAATGCCATGGAGTCATGGTAGTCGATAGCGCAATATGGCGCGTGCGCCATGCGCCATGTGGCGCGAAAAACCCTCTGCGCTATGAAAAGGGGCTGTGGCGAGGTGTATACACATGGCGTCGCCATTCCTGCGCCTTCGCCATTTGGGCGCCATCGCCATGGCGTTTGCGTCGTCCAGTAGTCGTCTAGGCTCGATGTTGGCGAAGAAATCCTCGACTTATTCACAAGTCGAACCGCAGTGGCAGGCCCAGAACCAGATAAAATAGATTTAGGCCTTAATTAGGGCTAATTTAATTAAGGTTTCAGGCTTTAAATTAAAAGCTAAGCCCAAACTAATCTACCTTACGGACCATTCGTTGCCCAAAGTTGCACGTAGGAAGCAAACAACTAAGACGAACTCACATAGTCGCCCTCCCTCAGTCCCTCGCGGAATCAGAGCAGCAGAGGAACTTGCAGACTTCCCAGTTCCCAGGTCCTTGATCTTTCGCTTCAGTTTTTATTTTATTTTAAATTGTAATTAATTAAGTTGTGTATTTATAATTTTGTTGTTGTAACCTTGTTTTTGTGTGTGCGTTTTAACTGTGATACTTCTATTTTAAAATAACCTTCTATGATATACTTCACATTTTGTTTTGATTAGTTTTTTAATTTTAATTCTCATTAATAAACCTTGTTTTCAATTATTAATTGTGAGTTTCTTTTGCAATTTTTTTCATTAATTGTGAGTTTCAATACTAAGTTATATACAATATAGAATTATATATATAGTTATAAATATATAGCTATATATATAAATATATAGTTTTATATATATACATATACATATACATACATATATATATATATATACACACACACACACACACACACACATAAACCCTAACAAAAAAAACACTAACAAAACCTTACTATTTTAGCTCATAATACTAACAACAACCCTAACTACAAATAAATAAACGCAACTAACATAAACCCTAACTACTATTTTTGCAAGACAGAAACTTTTTTTTGAATATTATGTTTTTTGGAAGTACTTTGAACTATTTTATCATGTTTTGGTGGTTGGGTAAACTTGGGTTGATGAATTGCAGTATCTATTTTGAATATTATGTTTTTTGTCACGTGGCGACGCCATATTTGCGCCATCGCCATGGAAAATGGCCTGTGCGCCATGGGTTGCGCCATGCGCCATGACAACTATGCATGCAGTATGATAAGGGTAATACTGTTATTGTATGTCTGTCACCAAAAAGCCATGCTCAGAAACCCATACGAAACGAATACAAGAATATAAAAGATATGTTGGAGTGGAGGGATATAGATACCAGTTCCATCATACTCGGAGAAGGTTGAAGCACTTGGCCGGTTGTCCAGTGTAGTTAGTTTTCGAGTAATCTCAGAAAGAAGAAAGGATTTTTAAGTTCACTGGTGTTTTCACTGTTTCTCCAATATGTTTAATGCATGTATATTTGTTTTACTTTGTAGATAATGAAGTGTAATGTTGAAAAGGAAGTGTGTTTGTGTGAAAAGCATTGCAGGTCAAAATAGTGTTAGCTACCATGTCACTACATGATTTCATCCGACGATATTCTAATGATGATCCTGCTTTTCTTTGTTTTAAGACAAACCTTGATTTCGTTCCGCAAGATCGCATTACTCCACCAACACATGAACCCACCGAAAGGACTTCAAATGAGGTTCGCGGTGCAAGTTCTTAACTTATAATTGCATTACTGGATGAAATACAGAAAATTTGTCACGTAATATGAGGCAACGTCGTTGATAGTGTATGACAATTGCATGTGTTCTATTATGTATTTTCTTTGTTTAATCTTTTTTCAAACATGTAATAAACTCTAATTAATACTTTGTACTTTATGTTTCATTTTTATTTTAAATTAAATGCATGTCCATTTGTTAATATACTTTGCAAAAAGTATATTTATTAAATTAATTTACTCATATTAGTCACAAAAAAATATGCATTTTTTGAGAGTAGTTGTATAAAAAAATCGACGTAAGAGTAAGAATGAAATTTCCAAAATAATCAATTATTTCATTAGGCTTATAATTAGCTAATCAAGCAAAAGTACTTTATTAGTAAAATTCACACCCATATATTTAACACAAATAAGTTAATGCTCTTTATAGTAATTTTACACACCATCGGCCATTTCAGTTAATATATTACCAAACATTTTCACTTCATCAAATTAAGTCTTTTCGGGCTTTTCAGCTATTCCAGTCAATGTAGCTATCACCAAATAGGCCCTTAACAACTCGTCTTTTTGGCTACGGCAGATTGAAATGGGAAGTACAAATGTCAGAATTGGATCTACGATATTTGGAGCAAGGACTATTCAAAGAAGCAATGAATTCTTAATGTCCTCCTTTTGGTAGCCATGTATAAGTACAACTAGCTTGGGCGCGTGCGTTGCGTGACGGTTGATGCCCAATCTTGGGAGAAAATGAGGAAGAATATACCTCGATATTGAGAGGCAGGACTAGGGGTGGACTCGGGTTGGGCCAACCGGCCCGGAACCGGACCGGCCCGCCACTGTGCGGGCCCGGACCGGCCCGGGAATCGGTTCGTTGGGCGGTTCGGGCCACCCGGCCCGGTGGATTCTCGGTTCGGGCTCGGGCCCTTCAAAAGGTGAACCGGCCCGGCCGGTTCGGGCCCGAGCCGGGCCAATTTTAATTTTTTTTTTGAATTTTTTTTGAGTTTTTGGGTTGGGCTGGTTATTTTAGGCCATTTGAGGTGGTTAGGGTTGGTTTGGGGGTGAGGGGGAGGGGTGGGAGGCTTAACTAGGAAAAGCCCCCCCAAAAAAAAAATACCCGAGACCCGGCCCGGGCCGGTTCCGGGCCTCCCCTTCTTGAACCGAGGCCCGGCCGGGCCCGAATCTGCCGCAGGACATGATCATAAAGCGAGACTCTCAAAAGGAACCACTCACCATAGCTAGCAACTCTAACCTATTGACATTCCAAATTTAGTATGATGTAATATTATGCCTCATAAAGTGTTTGTAACCATAAGTGCATCTAACGTAAAGCTTTGTTACTCCTTTTCTTTGGATGGATAAAGTGTTAACTAATCTTAGATAATTACTTTCACAACAAATTTTATGGGAATCATATAGTTTAGAGCTGGCAGTATTGAAGAAGGTTTGAGTCAGCAGAGTCTTTAGTACCCTCCAACTCCTCCAAGTGTTAAGAGCTACCTCTTTGTAATCCCGGAATGATATGAAACTAATGAAAGCGAGAAACCAATGTTGTTATTCAAGTAGAAATTTCGTGTGATACATTAGAAAAGGGTATTTAAGTTCCATATATAACTTTCTCTAAGATGTGGATTAGGGTTGGATTCGGGCCGGGTCGGGCCCGGGCCGGCGGTTCTATATAGTTGGACCCGGGACCGGGCCGGGCCGGGCCTTGCCGGGCCTTGTTATGGGTGACCCGAGCCCGGACCGGAAACCCACCGGGTCGGGCCTACCCGGACCGGTCACTGACCGGGCCACCGGTTCGGGCCGGGCCGGAACAGTACCGGTTCCGGGTTGGGCCACCCGGCCCGAGTCCAACCCTAATGTGGATGGTTCTTACCAATTTTAGTCTCAACTCAACAGCAATACTGGGTTCTTCAAGATCACCAACCAAGTTGGTTAAGACTTCACTGCCACACCTTTTCCAAATGATTTCGTTAATGCGAGCTTATTATAGTAGCTTAACCTGCAAAAGGGAGACATTTTAAAGCAATAACATCGCATACTCCTAAGTTGTAGCAAAAGAATCGTGTAATAGCAAAACGAATGGACTTTACTAAGCTAAAGTAGAATTAGCACCATGCTGCTAAAATTGCATATTAACTCTGTTTGAATAAAGATGTACTGTAATATCTGATCGTAATTATGTTTAACAAATAAATGAACCTTCAAATAAAATCATGGGATCGAAGTCAGAAATGAGCATCGCGCTTTCTCCATTTGAAAGAGGAAAGATCTTCCCATGACTTATAGCCATTGTAATCTTGGCGAACAACCATTTGACTAATCAGAGATGCCATATGCCCTTCAATTGCAGATAATAAGAAAGAAGAAACTTATGTATTTTATACTGGGCATACAACCCCACAGAAGCCATGTCACAATTCTTCTTCTTTCTCTATTTTTCGCAGCATATGGGAACTTTACATGGAAATGAAATGGAATAGATAGAAAAGAGAAGAAAAATAGGAGAAGTAGTCTTAGCTAACAGCATCATGAGAAGGGGTGATTACCGAGGCAACATTATACACAGTTGGCACTGGGCGACTTTGGCGGAAGATTTCTTGACGTTGAGCGATTGTTGATTTTGAGGCTTAGATATTTGATGGATCCTTCAACAAGATAATGGCCCACCCAGTACTCACGTGGATGCAAATAATAGGGCATGGTCTGGATCTGCACACCAAGCTACATGCTGGTTTAACAAGAAAGAGGATGCAGAAAAAGAGGAGGAAATGAACTTGAATGTTAGAAAACAAGAAGAACAAAGGCTATGCAATTATCAATTACCTCTCTTATACACATGGCCCATCGTGAGCCATTTTTCCTAATGCAACCCTGGTTCAGAATCATTCATCTTTATTCTTCAATACAATAGAATACACCGATCAAAGGTTGAGATCATGAAAAGATAGTCGATCCAAAGTCAAGAAACTACAAAGTATATATACTCAGAAATCATAATTCTGAGTATATATTAGACACACTAATATATTTGTGCTAATATTTATTAATTTCAAAAACACAAAGGAGTGTTTTTAAATGATACCCTAGAATAACAAAGTGTGGAAGTACTTCTGGTGCTCAAAATTAACCGATATCCATCCATCAACATTGATTTTAGTAACTAAAGATTGAATCTTTCATATAAATTAGAGCTGACCTCGATCTGGCCATTGGCAGCAGCTATATGCACAGCAGAATGACGATCATACACTGGTTTGGTGAACCATGCCTGTTTTGGTGAACCAACCCCGTTTTGGCTATATGCAAAGCAGAATGACATATTATGTTTCCAATACTTGTTTCAAGCTAATATGGTATAATTTTGAATGTAGAATATTCTAGGGACTGTAATACAATGTTTTATTTACTTTACGAATAAAAAATACTTCAAATGAAACTTTTTCAAAATTCACCAAATTCAACAAACTCAGCTACAACTTCAACAAATCCAAAAGGTTCAGATAATATTAGTCTCACCAAACGGAATCAACATCTTTTCTTTCCAACTTTACTCACTCAATCATCTTCAGTCTTTTCCATGCTTTTATATAAACCTTACAACTCTACTATTTATTTCAAGAGATATACTTTCTGGGTCCAATAAATGTGAACTAAGTACAATATAAAGCTACAAAGGAAAACGATCATATAAAACAAACCACTTGAAGGATATCTATATTCTCTGCCGTTCCACCAGCCATGATATTCTGCAAATCCTTCTCCACACGCCTCACAAGATCTGGCTTCAAAATACAACACGGCCATTATTTTATTAATCTCTGTGTGAGTTTTACATAAATCTAAACAACATAACTTGTGGACGTTCTAGTTCGAGAGGTAGATGAGAGGAGATGCATACAAGAAATCCGATCTTAGCAGTACAGTTTGAGAGGTTTCAAAATTCTAAAGGGTCATTAGATGGACTCAAAGGAAAAGGCTAATTTTGAAAATGACAATTGAACAATGAAGTTCAAGAGGTTTTCACATGTTGATGATTGAACAATACAGTTTTTTATATTAAAAAATCAAATCTAATCAGTATAAGAAAGATATTCTTCTGTAGAGGTTCACATGAATTTTATGTCTACACAAAACTAAGGTGGTTAGTGACCATTTGACCCCCCCCCCCCCACCCCCACATCCCCCTCACTTGGCTTTGCTGTTGTTAAGATGGTAATTCAGGAATAATTGCTTTGTTTAAAAAATTTAGAATAATCTGAAATATATTGTTGGTAAACCCATTCATATCTCCACAAAAGAAAAAACTTATTCAAGTTACCGGTTTTCTGTTTTATCTTAACTAAAGTACTTATTTATAAGATCTAGACTGCCACCCGCCGATGCGTGTATTGTCGTAAAGAGTATAATATACCCATGATTTCATTTGTTTCTATTTTCCTTTAGCAGCAAATTCACACTCTTTTCAATGTGATTATATTAACCTTATCATATATGGGTTGCCTTGCATTTGATCCTTCTTACTGCTATTAGGAAATTAATTAATTAATTATAAATTTGATTTCAGACTGTCATTCATAAACTTTTAAATCACAAAAAAATATGATATCATTAAAATTAAAATTCAAAAACAGATTTTTTTTCCAAAACTAAATAACACAATAAGATAAATTAATTGAGTGACATAGGAAGTCATACATCAGCAAGAGAAGCACACCCACATATGCTAGTCGGAATGGTGTGTAACCTTCAATGCCCAAATAATTCCACTATTAAGATACTTAAGGTCAACAATTTACATTTCGAGGCAAGAAAACAGAAACAAAAGTAAGGGCAGTAGGACCAACTAACGGAACTCGTTGTGAAAGGCTCGTATGAAACCATGTTTGTCAACCGGAACTCGTTAGAGGAGTTTGCTATTCAGGACTGTAGTTAAGGGCAGTAGGACCAACTAACTTGCTTACACTTTTTATATAAATAGGAGATACGAGTCCCTTGATCATTCAAAAAAATCAAACTACAAAATTACAAAGAAAAAAGTTCAAATCATCAAAAATAGTAAGTAAATGTTGATTAAAAGAAAAAATCCAATGGCAGGGAAAAGAGGTGCATAGAATGTAAGAGATGAGCTTCACTTATACATGGAGATCATCCGCAAACGTTCTGGCAAATGTCCCATGACATTTGCCCCACTGA